GCTCCCCGTAGGTCCAGCGCACGTACAGAGTCCCATGGCTGTAGTCTACTGACGAGATGTGGGGGGGCTTCAGGAGAGGGGGGGGGGGGGGGAGAGCACAGGAGGAGTGAGTGAGTGTCTGTGGTGTGTGTGGTGTGTGTGGTGTGTCGTGGCGTGTGTGTGGTGGTGGGTGTGTGGGTGTGTGTGTGTGTGTGGTGGTGTGTGTGTGTGGTGTGTGTGTGTGTGTGTGGTGGTGTGTGTGTGTACTGTAACAAAGCTAAACGGTGGCTGTCACAGCAGCTAGTGGGGAGCACCCACGGTCACCATGGTAACACGGAAGTTGTAGTATCCAGGCCGGCAAAAGATCTTGACTCTTGGAGGAGGCGAGAGGGAGAGAGGGAGCGACGGAGAGGGGGAGAGGGGGGAGAGAGGCGGAGAGGAAGAGAGAGGGAGACGGAGGAGAGATGGAGAGGAGGAGAGGAGGAGAGGGGAGAGAGAGAGCGGGAGAGAGGAAGGAAGAGGAGGAGAGGGGGGGAGGCGAGAGGGGGAGGAGAGGGGGAGAGAGGAGAGAGGGGAGGAGGAAGGAGAGCGGTGAGCGAGGAGAGGAGGAGAGAGGGGAGAGGAAGAGAGAGGGAAGAGGGGGAGAGAGGAGGAGAGAGGACAGGAGAGGGGGAGAGAGGAGGAGGAAGGACGCGAGGAGCGGATGAGGGGGGAGGGAGGAGGAGAGAGGAAGAGGAGAGGAGGAAGGGGGAGAGGAAGAGGGGGAGAGGAGGGAAAGAGGGAGAGAGAGAAGAGAGGGCGAGGAGAAGAGAGGGAGCGAGAGGGAGAGGAGAGGTGGAGAGAGGGGGAGGGAGAGGAGGAGAGGAGGGGGAGGGGATGAGGGAGAGAGGGAGAGGGAGAGGAGGAGAGAGAAGGCGAGGAGGAGAGAGGGGGACGGAGAGCAGAAAAGAGCGGAAGAGCAAGAGACGGGAGAAGGACAAGAGGTGGAGTGGAGGGAGATAAGGAGAGAGGCGAGAGGAGGAGAGAGGGAGAGGAGGAGAGAGAGAGGAGGAGGAGAGGAGGGGAGAGAGGGAGAGGATAGGTGGAGAGAGGGAGAGGAGGAGAGAGAGAGGAGAGGGGAGAGAGAGAGGGGAGGGGGAAGAGGAGGTAGGAGGAGAGGAACGAGGAGAGAGGAGCGGAGGGAGAGGGAGAGGAGAGGAGGAGAGAGAGAGGAGAGGAGGAGGAGAGGAGGAAAGAGAGAGGAGAGAGGGAAGGAGAGGAGGACAGCTTGAGAGGAGGAATAGGAGAGCGGTGAGAGGAGGAGAGGTATGGGAGAGAGAGAGGTGGAGAGAGGGAGAGGGGAAGGAAAGGAGGGAGAGAGAGGGAGAGGAGAGGAGAGGAGGAGGAGAGAGGAGAGGGGAGAGACGGAGAGGAGAGGGAGAGGGATGAGGAGAGGAGGAGAGGAGAGAAGGAGGAGAGGTGGAGAGAGGGAGCGGTAGGCAGAGAGGAGGAGGAGGAGGAGGAGAGAGAGAGGAGAGGAGGAGGAGAGGGAGAAGAGGAGAAAGAGAGAGAGGAGAGAGGGAGAAGTGACGAGGAGGGACAGCGGAGAAGGAGAATAGGAGAGAGGGAGAGGCGGAAGAGAGGGAGAGGAGATGGGGAGAGAGGGAGAGGAAAGAGAGGAGGAGCGGGAGAGGAGAGGAGGAGAGGAGGAGAGAGGGAGAGGAGGAGGACGGAGAGGCGGAGAAGAGGAGAGGAGAGGAGGAGAGAGAGGAGAGGAGGAGAGAGGGAGGGACGAGGGAGAGGTGGAGAGAGGGAGGGGGGGAGAGAGGGAGGGAGAGGAGAGGAGGAGAGCGAGAGGAGAGGGGAGAGCGGGGAGGAGAGGAGGGAGCGGGAGAGGAGGAGGAGGACAGCGGAGAGGAGGAGCATAGGAGCGAGGGAGAAGGAGGAGGAGAGAGGTCGAGGAGAGGTGGAAGGACGGAGAGGAGGAGAGGCGCGCGGAGGCGATACGGAAGAGGAGGGGAGAGAGGGAGAGGAGAGGAGCGGAGAGAAGGAGAGGCGGAGAGAGGGGCGAGGAGGAGGGCGGAGAGGAGGAGAGGAAGTAGAGAGGGAGAGAGAGGAGGAGACGAGAGAGAGGAGAGGAGGAGAGAGGGAGAGAGGGAGAGAGGTGAGAGAAGGAGGTGGGGGGGAGGAACGAGAGAGGGAGAGGACGAGGTGGAGAGAGGAGAGAGGAGAGAGGGAGAGGAAGGAGAGAGGGAGCGGGGGAGAGGATGAGAGGAGTGCGAGGGAGGACAGGAGAGGGGGAGAGAGAGAGGAGGGAGAGAGGGAGAGGAGGAGAGGGGAGGAGAGAGGAGGAGAGAGGAAGAAAGAGGAGAGATGAGGAGAGAGGAGAGAGGGAGAGGAGAAGAGGGAGAGGAGACGAGAGCGGAGAGGAGAAGAGAGGAAGCGAGAGGGAGAGGAGAGGTGGAGAGAGGGGAGAGGGAGGAGAGGAGGAGGGGAGGAGGAGGAGAGGGAGAGGGAGGAGCGAACGAAGATGAGGAGAGGCGGAGAGAGAGGCAAGAAAGAGAGGGGAGAGCGAGGGAGAGAGATGGTGGAGAGAGGGAGATAAGGAGAGGGGAGAGAGGAGAAGGGGGGGAGAGGGAGAGGAGGAGAGAGAGAGGAGAGGAGAGGAGGAGAGAGGGAGAGAGAGGTGGAGAGAGGCGAGGAGGAGCGAGGGAGAGGTTGAGGTGGAGAGAGGGAGAGGAAAGGAGGAGAGAGGGAGAGGAGAGGAGAGAGGAGAGATGGAGAGGAGGGAGGAGAGCGGGAGAGGAGGAGGGTAGAGAGAGGGAGAGAGGAGAGAGGGAGGGAGAGGAGAGGTGGAGAGAGGGACCGCGGAGGGAGAGAGGGAGAGGAGAGGAGGGAAGCGAGAGAGGACGAGGAGGAGAGAGGGAGAGGAGAGGTGGAGAGAGGGAGGGGAGGAGAGAGGGAGAGGAGAGAGAGAGAGGAGAGGAGGAGAGAGAGAGGGGAGGAGGAGAGAGGGAGAAAGAGAGGAGGAGAGAGGGAGAGGAGAGGAGGAAGCGGGTGGGAGGCGAGAAGGAGAAGAATAGGCGGAGAGCGGGAGAGGAGGACGAGAGGGAGAGGAGTGGTGGAGAGAAGGAGAGGAGGAGAGAGGGAGAGGAGGAGATACGTGAGAGGGGAGAGAGGGAGAGGAGGAGAGGCGGAGAGAGAGGAGCGAGAGTAGCGGAGAGCGTGAGGAGAGAGGAGAGGAGGAGGAGGGAGAGGAGAGAGGAGAGAGGAGAGGAGAGAGAGGGAGAGGAGGGAGGAGGAGAGAGAGGAGAGCGGATGAGAGGAGGAGAGAGGGAGAGGAGAGGTGGAGAGAGGGAGAGGAGGAGAGAGGGGAGCGGAGCGGTGGAGAGGAAGGAGAGGAGGAGGAGAGAGGGATGAGGAGGAGAGATCCGGAGAGGCGGAGAGCGGGAGCGGAGAGGGAGGCGAGACGGCGGAGAGGAGGAACGAGGGGAGAGGGAAGAGGAGGAGAGAGGGAGAGGAGGAGAGAGGGAGGAGGAGAGGAGGGAGAGAGAGGAGGGAGGAGACTAGGGAGAGGAGAGGCTTGGAGAGAGGGAGAGGAGGAGAGAGGGAGAGGAGAGGTGGAGAGAAGGAGGCAGGGGAGAGGGAGATGGCGAGAGGAGGGATACGGAGGAGGAGAGAGGTGAAGAGGAGGGGAGCGATGAAGAGAGGGAGAGGGGAGACGAGGAGGGAGAGGAGGAGAGAGAGAGAGAGAGAGGGGGAGGAGAGAAGGAGAGAGGGAGAGGAGGAGAGGGAGAGAGGGCAGCGGAGAGGTTGGAAAGAGGAGGAGAGAGAGAGAGAGGAGGGAGAGGAGAGGTTGGAGGGGGAGAGGAGAGAGGGAGAGGGGGCGACGAGGGCAGGAGAAGGGGAGAGAGAGGGAGAGGAGGAGAGGAGGGAGGAGGAGCGAGGGAGAGGGAGAGGAGGAGCGAGGCGAGAGGAGGATTATAGGGAGGAGAGAGAGAGAGAGGAGAGGAGGAGATAGGGAGAGGAGGAGGAGAGGGGAGAGGAGAGGAGGAGAGAGGGAGAGGAGAGGAGGAGAGAGGGAGAGGAGTGAGGGAGAGGAGGAGAGAGGGAGAGGAGGGAGGTTAGCAATGCTCCACCCTCAGCAGGGTCGGTAGAAACAGGAAAAACTTCAGGGGGAAAGGAGGAGACTGTGACGTGACTTCCAGGTTTGGACGTGCGCCTCGCTGTTTCCAGTCCCCTTGTGAAACATATAGCGGATGCCTTTAGATACTGCCTGTCTTTCTTCCAGATGAAGTTCTTGCAACAAAGTCGACAGACACCACATACCACTTTTGTTACCACTTTGTAGGAGATTCCATTATCACTAGATAACACTAGCTAATATCTGGCTAGCAGCTAGCTACGGCACATGCTAGCTTACTCTCTGAAGTTGTTTCAATCTGAAATATTAACAAGACCACACTCCATCTTAACTCCTCCTCCACATTTACTGGATTGGTTTGAAACAGTGCAGAAGACGGTTATTGTTTGTCATGACCAGAATGTCGGGGCATCCCTCTCAGACCTTTTCACACCTGCTGCGTTAGCTTAGCAATGCTCAGAGCCTAGTAGGTCATGTGATCTAAAATAACATAGCAGGGAGAGAAAGAGCGAGCTAGGGGAGGGGTGAGGCAATGTGAGCCTAGTGACAAATGGCATCTAACATAAAGTACCACCACAACAGCCTGGCTACAACCCTGATACAAGCAGACAGGGGATAGTATATTGGTATTGGTATTTTGGTATATTGGTATTTTATTTTACTTCTGCTCTTTTTTTCTCAACACTTTTTTTGTTGTTGTTTTATTTTTACTTTTTTTGTTAAAAATAAATGCACTGTTGGTTAAGGGCTGTAAGTAAGCATTTCACTGTAATGTCTGCACCTGTTGTATTCGGCGCATGTGACCAATAAAATTTGATTTGATTTGATTTGATTGGCTAAGGCCCTGCGTCAGGCAGCAGGTGATTGGCTGGGTCAGGGTTGGGGCGGGGCTAGTTACCACGGATGCGATGACTGAGGCAGTAGCAGCGATCTCGTAGTACGTGGTCCACTCAGAGGCCAGCGTGACAGGGTTGAAGAAGAATGTCTGCAGGACGTACTTCCTGAACGCCACGTGGTACGGTCTCTGCCACGACAGGATGACTGCCGTCGGGCTCAGAGAATACACCACCAGCTCCCGCACTCACGTTGGCTCTGGGGACAGACAGACAGACAGACAGACAGCAGGACAGACAGACAGCCCCAGACAGACCAGGCAGCAGAAACAGACGACAAAAACCCAACAACAAAGAAGGGGGGGCCCGGGAGACAGCAACCGGAGACCCAGACAGGCAAAAGACAGAAGGGACCGGCAGAGACAAAGGGGAAAGGCAGGCAAAGACAAAGGAAAGAAAGCAAAGAGACGGGAAAAGGGCCAGCGCAGAAGGCAAAAGAAGCAGCAAAGACGGAAAAGAAACAACCGGCAAAGACAAAGAAGGCAGCGGCAAAAGACGGGGGCACCCAAAGGGGACAAAGGGGAAGGCGCCGGCAAAGAGGACAAAGAAGGCACCGTTAAATCCAAAACCAAAGAAAGGGGAACCTAGATGACAAATATGTTGATCGTCCCAAATGGAAAATATTTCCCTCTGGTCAAAAAGTAGTCACAAAGGGGAAATAGGGTCCCATTTTTTTGGTCTAAAGTGTGCCAATTGGGAAAGGGTGCCATTCTCGGGTCTAAGTAGTCACTTATAGGGAAAGGGTGCCTTTCTTGGTCTAAAGTAGTGCACTAAAAGGGGGAATAGGGTGCCCTTTCTCGGGTTAAAGTAGGCAATAGGGAATAGGGTGCCATTTTGGGTCAAAAGAGGGCACTATATAGGGAAAGGGTGCCTTTTCTCTGGTCTAAAGTAGTGCACTAAAAGGGGAATAGGGTCCCATTCTTGGCTAAATATGCCTAATAGGGAATGGGGTTTTATTTTCTAAAGTTGTGATAAAAGGGGAATAGGGGCCTTTTGGTGTGTTGGGGGGACTCACCGATGTCTATTATAACAGGTTCTGAAGGAGGGCTGATGAGAGGTCCGTTAGTACGGTACCCACATCTGTACGGGCCCCCGGAGTGGGGTGGAAGGATGTCATGGTCGTTTTTCCCTGCAACCAATAAGGGGCAGGAACAGGTATCAGGGCGGGTGTTGCAAACTGGGTTAGTGGTGTTTCTGGTGAACTGGATCAGAGCAGTATATTGATAGGTGCACATAACTGGTTAGTGGTGTTTCTGGTGAACTGGATCAGAGCAGTATATTGATAGGTGCCCATAACTGGGTTAGTGGTGTTTGTAAAGGTCAGAAGAATTTTTTTTCCATTTAGTGTTTCTACTGTCCTTAATGGTCCCTCTTAAGTGTTTTGAAAAACCCCCGTAAAAACTACACTAGTGGTCTACCTTTACTGAATGATTTTTCCATGTAGCAGGAGTGGTCACCTCACGCAGATGGTTCTCCATGCTGCAGGCAGGAGTCTTACCTCACTGCAGTATGGGTTCTCCATGCTAGCAGGCTAGTGAGTCTTTCTCAGGCAGTAGAGTTTTCCATGCTAGCAGGGGAGGATTTTACCTCAGGGGATGTGTTTTCCCTGTAGAGGTAGTGAGTCTTACCTCACTGCAGTATGAGTTCTCCCGCTGCAGGCTAGTGGTCTTACCTCAGCATTGTGTTTCCATGCTAGAGGTAGTGAGTTTACCTCACGCAGTATGGTTTCCATGCTAGCAGGCTAGTGAGTTACCTCAGCAGTAGGTTCCCCTGCTAGAGGCTAGGAGTTTACCTCACTGCAGTATGTGTTCTCCATGCTAGCAGGCTAGTGAGTCTTACCCACTGAGTATGATTTTTCCATGTGAGGCTGTGAGTCTTCCCCACGCAGTTTGGTTTCCATGTAGCAGGCTAGGGGGTCTTACCTACTGCAGTATGGTTTCCTGCTAGCGGCTAGTGATCTTACCTACTGCAGTATGGTTTCCCATGCAGAGGCTAGTGAGTCTTACCTCACTGCAGTATGAGTTCTCCATGCTAGCAGGCTAGTGAGTCTTACCTCCTGCAGTAGGTTTTCCAGCTAGCGGTAGGATCTTTACCCCCCCCCGGGAGTATGGGGTTCTCCTGCTAGCGTAGTGAGTTTACCTCACTGCAGTAGGTTCTCCATGCAGAGGGTAGTGGCTTACCTCACTGCAGTATGGTTTTTGTAGCAGGCTGTAGCTTAATCATGCAGATGGTTTCCATGCTAGCAGGTAGTGAGTTACCTCAAAAGCAGTAGTGTTCTCCAGCTAGAGGTAGTGAGTCTTACCTCACTGCAGTAGGTTTCCCTGCAGCAGGCTGTGAGTTACCTCACTGCAGAGTGTTCTCCATGTAGCAGGCAGGGTTTTCCTCCTGGTAGTGTTCTCCATGCTAAAAGGGGTAGTGGTCTTAAACCCCGGGGTATGGTTTTCCATGTAGCAGGCTAGTGAGTCTACCTCATGCAGTTGGTTCTCCATGTAGCAGGTAGGAGTTACCTATGCAGAGTGTTTTCCCTTTCTAGCAGGAGGAGTCTTACCTCCGGGAGTATGGTTTCCATGCTAGAGGTGTGAGTCTTTCCTCCCGGGAGATGAGTTTTCCAGCAGCGGTATGAGCTTACCTCCCCCAGTAGAGTTTCCATGAGAGGTAGTGGTCTTACCTCCCGGCAGTATGAGTTCTCCATGCTAGCAGGCTAGTGAGTCTTACCTCACCGCAGTATGAGTTCTCCATGCGCTGGCTGAGCTGGGTCGGAGGCAGGTCAGGGACAGAACTGACACCAGGCTGCCGTTGTGGCTCTCGGAGGCAGGTCCCAGGGACACCACTGCCAGTTTACTGGAGCCTAGCAACCATGGACACGACCCGCCTGGGGCCGCTCCCGGGCTGCTCCGCCACTTCCACTGGGGCTGGGGCCATTCATTGGTTGATTTGGAATTTATTTGACAATCAAACATATACAGTAAAACACGAATTTCAGTGTAGGCAGGGTTAGGGTTAGGGTCAGTGTTAGGGTTAGGGTCAGGGTTAGGCTTACCTACTGAGATAGAAGGTTAGGGTCAGGATTAGGGTCAGGGTTAGGGTCAAGGTTAGGGCTAGGGTTAGGGTCAGGGTTAGGGTCAAGGTCAGGGTTAGGGTCAGGGTTAAGCTATACATACTGAGATGGTTAGGGTCAGGGTCAGGTTAGGGTCAGGGTTAGGGTCAGGGTTAGGGTCAGGGTCAGGGTTAGGGTCAGGGTCAGGGTCAGGGTCAGGGTTAGGGTCAGGGTTAGGATCAGGCTATACATACTGAGATAGAAGGTCAACCCTGTATAGGCGGTGCTCTCTCTGGCCTCACAGTCTCCTGCAGAGCTCAGTGTGGTGACCTGGACTCTGTAGGTACCAGGCTCTGTCAGCTCCGTGAAGAACTCATGAGTGTTCTCATCCACCGTGGCCGTCTCTGTGGAGTTACCTGAGGACGGGGGAGAGACAGGGCTCAGAGGGGTTTGATGGGGTGCTTGAAACAGCACAAGGCACAACAGATACCATTCAGCTATTGTCTTCATCTGACAACATAAGAGCCCCTTTACTCCAGGACCCTGAGTAGGAGATCTGATCTAGGATCAGTCTTATTCATTATGATCTAAAAAGGCAAAAAGCCTAACCTATATCAGCACTCCTTTTCTGAGAGTCTTTGTGAATACGGTCTAGTGGCCGTAGAGGCCTTTAGCTTTACCGTCTCTGTAGACGTAGACGTTGGGTCTAGTGGCCGCAGAGGCCTTTAGCTTTACCGTCTCTGTAGACGTAGACGTTGAATCCGTCGTAGGTGGCCGGGGGTCGGGGGGGGAGCCAGCGCAGCTCCAGCAGTATGGGGGTCGGGGTGACGGAGGTCTCTGGGGACAGGCCCATGGCAGAGCCCGGCTCATTGGAGTCCTCGTACTCTGGAACCACCGCGTTCACAAATCCCTCATCCCCGTCCGTAGGGGAGGGGCTACCGGTGGGCTCCGGCCAATAGGGCTGCGTGGCGGTCTCTTCTTCGGTGGTGTTAGAGATAGCGGCGGCGGCGTAGCCCGTGGAGCTGTTGGAGCCCTGAGGGGCGGAGCTGTAGGGGACCTGGGTGGTTCCGCCCACCACCTCCTCTGAGATCACTTCCTGTATCTCCTGGTTCTCCTGTAGTTCCTGTTCCTCTATGAGGGGGACATCCCGCGCCCGCCGGGGCTGGGGGGTGTCCTGGGTCTCCTCGGAGCTAGGGACCCCCCTGGTAGCGCCCTCTGGCTGAGTGGGACGATCTTATGGGAGATGTTGAGGGGAGGGTTGGGCACTGCAGGGAAACACTAACATTAGTATTAGTTTGCCATCTCCTAGATACAGTTATACCGTTGCTATTTGATGGTTCAATAACGTCCTGAGTCTTGTTCCCCGGTCAATGTACCCTGTGGTTACATGTCGGTGTTGGCCGGGGATGTGGGTATTGTAGTTAGTACCGGTCTTGTGTTGCCGGGGATGTGTGTTATTAGTTAGTTACCGGTCCTGTGTTGCCGGGGCTCGTTGGGTTATGTAGGTAGTAACCTGTCCTGTGTTGCAGGGGATCGTGGGTATGTAGTTAGTTACCTGTCCTGTGTTGCCGGGGCTCGTGGGTATGTAGTTAGTTTACCTGTCCTGTGTTGCCGGGGATCGTGCGGTTATTGTAGTTAGTTACCGGTCATGTGTTGCCAGGGGTCGGGGATTATGAGTAGTTACCTGTCCTGTGTTTGCCGGGGCTCGTGGGTTTGTAGTTATTACCCGTTCCTGTGTTTGCCGGGGCTCGGTGGGTTATGTAGTTTAGTACCATGGTCTGTGTTGCCGGGGCTCGTGGTTATTTATGTAGGTGTACCTGCTCCTGTGTTGCCGGGGCTCGTGGGTTATGTAGTTAGTACCTGTAATGTTGTTGCCGGGGGGTCGTGGGTTATGTAGTTAGTTACGTCATGTTGTTGACGGGGCTCGTGGGTTATGTGGTAAGTTACCTGTCTGTGTTGCCGGGGCCGTGGGTTATGTAGTTAGTTACCTGTCCGGTGTGCCGGGGCTCGTGGGGTATGTAGTTAGTTACAGTCTGTGTTTGCCGGGGCTCGTGGGTTATGTAGGTAGTTTTACATGTCCTGTGTGCCGGGGCTCGTGGGTTATGAGTTAGTTACCTGTCCTGTGTTGCCGAGGGATCGTGGGTTATTGTAGGTAGTTACCTGTCTGTGTTGCGGGGATCGGGGTTATGTAGTTGTTACCTGTCCTTTGTTGGTGTTGCCGGGTCTAGTGGGTTATGTAGTTAGGTTACCTGTACTGTGTTGCGGGGGCTCGTGGGTTATGTTATGTAGTTAGTGAACTGTCTGTGTTGCCGGGGTGTGGGTTATGTGGTTAGTTACCTTGTCTTGTGTTGCGGGCTCGTGGGTATGTTAGTAGTAGTTACTGTCCTGTGTTGCGGGGGGCTCGTGGTTATGTAGTTAGTTACCGTCCTGTGTCTGCCGGGAACCTCGTGGGTTATTGTAGTAATTACCTGTCCGTGTTGCCGGGGCCTGTGCCGGGGCTCGGGGTTATGTAGGTAGTTACCTGTCCTGTGTTGCGGGGCCGTGGGTTATGTGTTAGTTACCTGTCCTGTGTTGCCGGGATCGGGGTAGTGGGTGGGTTATTGTAGTTAGTTACCTGGTTCCTGTGTGCGGGGATCGTGGGTTATGTAGTTGTAGTTAGTTACCTGTCCTGTGTTGCCGGGGGCTCGTGGGTTATGTCGTTAGTTACATGTCTGTGTGGCGTGGTCTGTGGGTTAGTAAGTTAGTTTACCTGTCCTGTGTTGCCGGGACTCGTGGGTTCATGTTAGTTGTTACTGTCTGTGTTGCCGGGTCGTGGGTTAGTGTAGGTTAGTTACATGTACGTGTTGCAGGGTCTCGTGGGTTATGTAGTTAGTACCTGTCTGTGTTGCGGGACTCGTGGGTTATGTCGTTAGTTACTCTGATCCTGTGTTGCGGGGTCTCGTGGGGTATGTAGGTAGTTACCTGTCCTGTGTTTGCCGGGGATCGTGGGTTATGTAGTTAGGTACCTGTCCTGTGTTGCCGGGGCTCGTTGGGTTATGTAGTTAGTTACCTGTCCTGGTGTGGCCGGGGGATAGTGGGTTATGTTAGTTAGAGTTACCTGTCCTGTGTTGAAGGGGATCGTGGGTTATGTAGTTAGTTACTGTCCTGGGTTGCCGGGGCTCTGGGTTATGTAGTTACCGTTACCCCTGTCCTGTGTTGCCGGGGTCGGTGGGTTATGTAGTTAGTACAGTCCTGTGTTGACGGGGTCGTGGGTTATGTAGTTAGTTACATGTCCTGTGTTGCGGGGCCTAGTGGGTTATGTAGTAGTTACATGTCTGTGTTGCCGAGGGGGCTCGGGGTTATGTAGTTAGTTACTGTCTGTGTTGCCGGGGCGCGTGGTTATTGTAGTGTTACCTGTCCGTTTGCTGGGGTAAAGTGGGTCAGGTCGCGCGTCCGGACCAGTTGTGGTTCTGTTGAACTTTAAGCTTCAGAGGATCAGCTGGAAGGAGATGTTGCTGTAACACGTCCGGGGAGGGTAGCCGTGTTTTCGTAACAAAAGGCAGTTAAGTTATTAGAAAGTATTATTAAAAAAGAACAAAGGTAGCTTAGTGGGTAAGAGCGTGTGCCAGTAACACGAAACGGGCGCTACGGTTCTAATCCGAGCGATAGGTGAAGATCGGTCGATTCTCGTGCACCTTGAGCAAAAGGCAATTAACCCTGAAATTGCAGGTAAGTCGCTATGGATAAGAGCGTCTGCTAAATTACTTAAATGTAAATGTAAACACATTAGTCTTCCCATTGTAGAAGTCTATAACACAGAAACAGTCTGCTTTATAGAAATTTGAGGACAGAACACATTAGTCTTCCACTTGTGTTTCTGATCAGGAAACACTGAAGTCTGATTTGGATTGGTGTGTCTGCCCCAAACATGACCTAATACAGACATGCTAAACTCAGTGGATTCAAACTCAAAACAATGTGAACTATGAACTGCTCTGAACTGCCTCCGAAACGCTCAGAACTTGCCTGAAAACAGGCCTATTCAGCTTTCGCCTGTTGATCCAGTCTGTCCAGCCAGAGGCCTCACCTTTATAGAGCATGGATCTCTGCTCCCGGCCCTCTGCGTAGCTGATGTTGACCCGACTGAAGACGTTGTTCTCTGGGGAGCTGATCTCAAACACCACCCCTGTCTCTGGAGCCTCTCCGTAGTCTGAGATCACCACACTGTCCACCGGACGTGGCTCTGCGGGGGGGACAGACAGACAGACAGCAGATACACATCAGGACTGACTGCCTGGTGTAGGGACACAACGACCACTACAACCTCCACAGTGAAGAACAGGGAAGAAGAAGAGAGATGAGGGCCAACAAGTCAAGCACATAGTGGATCTATGAGAGAACAGAGACTGGTCTAAAACATCCAGTACTGAGGTGGATTCAGACCAGTTCTTCAGCCTGAAACGATGAAGACAACACAACCATGTTCTTACTGCTGAGAACAGCTACAGTCTGGACGGACTGGGACCAGGTCTTCCCCTGTCTGAATACTTACTGGTGAGAACAGCTACAGTCTGGACGGACTGGACCAGGTCTTTCCCTGTCTGAATACTTACTGGTGAGAACAGCTACAGTCTGGACGGACTGGGACAAGGTCTTCCCCTGTCTGAATACTTACTGCTGAGAACAGCTACAGTCTGGACGGACTGGGACCAGGTCTTCCCCTGTCTGAATACTTACTGCTGAGAACAGGACGGACTGGGACCAGGTCTTCCCCTGTCTGAATACTTACTGCTGAGAACAGGACGGACTGGGACCAGGTCTTTCCCTGTCTGAATACTTACTGCTGAGAACATACAGTCTGGACGGACTGGGACCAGGTCTTCCCCTGTCTGAATACTTACTGCTGAGAACAGCTACAGTCTGGACGGACTGGGACCAGGTCTTCCCCTGTCTGAATAACTTTCTGCTGAGAACAGCTACAGTCTGGACGGACTGGGAACGGGTTCGCCCAGTTCTGACTACTACTGCTTGAGAACAGCTACAGTCTGGACGGACTGGGACCAGGTCTTCCCCTGTCTGGACTACTTTATGCTTGAGAACAGCTACAGTCTGAGACCGGACTGGGACCAGGTTTTTCCCCTGTCTGATACTTTCTGCCTGAGAACAGTAACAGTCTGGACGGATGGGACCAGGTCTTTCCCGTATGAAATAATTACTGCTGAGAACACTACAGTCGGAAGGACTTGGAACAGGCTTCCCTGTCTGGAAGCAGGGCTAACGGTTTGTAGCGAGTCGGGTAGGAGGAGTTAAAGACCAGCGGGGTCGCGGTGGGGTCGGTCAGGTTCAGGAACGGCAGCAGGTGCGTTCGGGGCTCGCCCATCACCCGGGCAGCGTACCCCGTCACGTTCTCCCGCAGGTCAGACTGCTCCAGGGTCGCTACGATCCAGTCCTCCTCTTTAACTGACACCTGGAAGGACACGATGGTCTGGAGGAGAGAGAGAGGAGAGAGAGAGGGCTGGTTAGTCTCCAGGAATGGCGCAATATGTTCACTACAGGGAAACATTTACAAATTTCCGGTCCCAGGGAAACCCTTAATCATGGTCTCAGGGAAACATTACATCCTGGTCCTCAGGGGACGGAAACATACCTCCTGGTCCTCAGGGAACCATACAGGGAAACATTAATCCTGGTCCTCAGGGAACCACTACACGGAAACATAAAATCATCCTGGTCCTCAGGGAACCATACCAAGGGAACGACATCCTGGTCATCAGGGGAACCACTACAGGGGAAACATTACATCCTGGTCCTCAGGGAACCACTACAGGGAAACATTACATCCTGGTCCTCAGGGAACCACTACAGGGAAACATTACATCCTGGTCCTCAGGGAACCACTACAGGGAAACATTACATCCTGGTCCTCAGGGAACCACTACAGGGAAACATTACACGGTGCTAGGGAACCAATACAAAGGAACTTTACATCATGGTCCTCAGGGAACCATACAGGGAAACTTAACATTCCTGGTCCTCAGGGAACCACTACGGGAAACATTACAATCCTGGTCCCAGGGAACAACTACGGGAAACATACATCTGGCTCTCAGGGAAACCCGGGAACCATACAGGGAAAACATTACATATGGTCCTCAGGGAACCAATAAGGGAAAAATTATATCTGCGTCCCTAGGGAACCACTACAGGGAAACAATTACATCCTGGTTCCTCAGGGAACCACTACAGGGAAATTACATCATGGTCCTCCGGGAACACTACAGGGAAACATTAATCGTGGTCCTCAGGAACCACATAAGGGAACATTACTCCTGGTCCTCAGGGGAAACCACTACAGGGAGGAGGAAACATTACATCCTGGTCCTCAGGGAACCACTACAGGGGAAAACATTACATCCTGCTCCTCAGGGAACCACTACAGGGAAACATACATCATGTCCTCAGGGAACCACTACAGGGAAATAAACTTTAATCCTGGTCCTCCGGGAACCATCCAGGGGGAAGGAAAAATTACACCTGCTCCTCAGGAACCCACTACAGGGAAACATTACATCCTGGTCCTCAGGGAACACTACAGGGGAAAAACATACATTCATGGTCCTCAGGGAACCACACAGGGGAACTTTTACATAATGGTCCCAGGGAACCACTACAGGAAAAACATACATCCTGGTCCCAGCGGAACCCATAGGGAAACATTACATCTGGTGGTCCTCAGGGAAAAAAACTACAGGGACAAAATAATCCTGAGTTCTCAGGGAACCACTTACAGGGAAACATTACATCTGTCTCAGGGAACACTACAGGGAAACAGTAAATCTGTCATCAGGGAACCAATACAGGAAAAATTACATCCTGGTCCTGGTTAAAAGCCTAGAGTAAAATGCTCTCCTCCCCACCAGGTACCAGTCGCCAGGAGGGTTGGTGATAAAACACCCATCTGTTTCTTTCCTCCTCTCCAAAATACTACTGACTCTCAGGGGAACACTCTGAAGCTCCACACAGTATCCCTCCCTCCATCCCTCCGCCGGTCCTCCACTGTATATCTTTGCTTCAATCCCCCAAACCCTATAAGATCTCTGTGTGTTATGTATCTCCCCCCCCTCTAAGTATCTCTGTGTGTTTGTCTCTTCCCCCCCTTAAAGTATCTCTGGTTGGTTCTGTCTCTCTCCCCCCTAAGTATCTCTGTGTGTTCTGTCTAGTCCCCCCTTAAGTTTATATCTGTGTGTTCTGTTCTTCACCACCTCTAAGTATCTCTGTGTGCTGTCCTCTCCCCCCCTTCTAAATATCCTGTGTGTTCGGTTCTCGTCCCCCCCTCTATAAGTATCTCTGTGTGTTCTGTCTCTCCCCCCCCCTCTAAGTATCTTGTGTTGTTCTGTCTCTCTCCACCCCTCTAAGTAGTATCTCTGTGGTTATGTTCGTCCACCATATAAGATATCTTGTGTTTGTTTCTGCTCTTTTTCCCCCTCCAAGTATTTGTTGTGTTCGGTCTTCCCCCACTCAAGTATCTTGTGGTTCTGTCTTTCCTCCCCCTCTAAGTATCTCTGGGGGTTCTGGCTATTCCCCCCCTATAAGGATCTCTGTGTGTTATGTCTCCTCTCCCCCCCTCTAAGTATCTCTGTGTGTTCTGTCTCTTCCCCCCCTCTAAGTATCTCTGTGTGTTCTGTCTCTTCCCCCCCCCTCTAAGTATCTCTGTGTGTTCTGTCTCTCCCCCCCTCTAAGTATCTCTGTGTGTTCTGTCTCTTCCCCCCTTCTAAGTATCTCTGTGTGTTCTGTCTCTTTCCCCCCCTCTAAGTATCTCTGTGTGTTCGTCCTCTTCCCCCCTGAGTAGCTCTGTGTGTTCTGTCTCTTCCCCCCCTCTAAGTATCTCTGTGTGTTCTGTCTCGTCCCCCCCTTAATACGTTATTCTGTGTGTTCTGTTATCGTCCCCCCTCTAAGTATCTCGTGCGGTATGTCTATTCCCCCCTTAAGTATTCTCTGTGTGTTCTGTCTTTCCCCCCCTTAAAGTATCTATGTTGTGTCGGTCCTTCACCACATCTAAGTAATTGTGTGTCGTGTTCTCCCCCCACCTCTAAAAGTTCTCTATGTGGTCTGTATCTGCCCCCACCTAAGATCTCTGTGTGTTTCTGTCTCTTGCCCCCCTCTAAGTATCTTGTGTGTTATGTCTAGTCCCCCCTCTAAGTATCTATGTGTGTTCTGTCGAGTGACACCCCTTACTAGTATCTCGTTGTTGGTTACACCCCCCTCTAAGTATCTCTGTGTGTTCTGTCTCCCCCCCTCTAAGTATCTCTGTGTGTTCTGTCTCTCCCCCTTAAGTATCTCTGTGTGTTCTCTCTTCCCCCCCTCTAAGTATCTCTGTGTGTTCTGTCTCGTCCCCATCTACGGATCTTCTGTGTGTTCTGTTCTATTCCCCCCTCTACAGTATCTCTGTATGTTTCTGTCGCTTCCCCCATCTAGTATCTCTGTGTGTTTCTGTCTCCCCCCCACCTCTCAGTATCTCTGATGTTTCTGGTCTTCTCCCCCCTCCTAAGTATCTCTGTTGTGGGTTTGTCTCTTCCCCCCCTTACTAAGATCTCTGGTGTTCTGTCTCCCCCACCACTCTAAGTATATCTGATGTTCTGTCTCTCCACCCTCTAAGTTCTCTGTGTGTTATGTCTATTCCCCCCCCTCTAAGTATCTTGTGTGTTCTGTCTATATCCCCCCTCGAGATCTCTAGTGTTGTGTTCTGGTCTCTACCCACTCTAAGTATCTCTGTGTGTTTGTCCTATTCCACCCTCTAAGTTCTTTGTGTGTTCTGTCTCGTCCCCCCCTCCCTCTAAGATATCTGTGTGTTCTGTCTCCTCCCCCTCTAAGTATCTCTGTGTGTTCTGTCTCTGTTCCCCCTCTAAGTATCTCTTGTGTTCTGTCTCTTCCCCCCCTCTAGCTAAGTATCATCTGTGTGTTTCTGTCTCTTCCCCCCCTCTAGTATCTCTGTTGTGTTCTGGTCTCTACCCCCCTCTAAGTATCTATGGTGTTCTGGGGGGGTCTCTCACCCCCTCTAAGTATCTCGGTGTGTTCTGTCTCTTCCCACACTCAAGTATATAGGTGGTTTGTTCTTCCCCCTCTAAGATATCTGTGTGTTCGATGCTTCCCCCCCCTCTAAGTATCTCTGTGTGTTCTGTCTCTCCCCCCCTCTAAGTATCTATGTGGGTTCTGTCCTCGGTGTTTTCACCCCCCCCCCCCC